TCCTGCTCCTCCCTCCCTCCTCCCTCCTCCTGCTCCTCTTCCTCCTGTTCCTCCTCCTGCTCCTCCTGCTCCTCCTCCTCCCTCCTCCTGCTCCTCTTCCTCCTGTTCCTCCTCCTCCTGCTCCTCCTCTTCCTCCTGCTCCTCCTCTTCCTCCTGCTCCTCCTCTTCCTCCTCCTGTTCCTCCTCCTCCTGTTCCACCTCCTCCTGCTCCTCCTCCTCCTCCTCCTCCTGTTCCTCCTCCTCCTCTTCCTCCTCTGTTCTAAGCCCTGAGCACCTCAGGCCCTGCACCAAGGCACAAATGGAAGCTCCGGGCTTCTTCAGAGCGGTGTTGAGTCACCCGTTGTCCCTTTGCTGATGTGCGGCCGAGGGGAGTCAGGGTAAGCTAAGGAACACACGGCTCGTGGCTTCCTCACCCCTGCATGTGCTCCGCCCTGCCACAGGCCTCCACCGAAATAGATGCCATCAACCTGGAGAAGAAGTGCATCCTGCAGCAGTGGGCCACCAGCCTGGTGGGCATGAAGCACCGCGACGAGGCACACAGGGCCATCCTGGAGGCACTGAGGTACAGCCCGGGCTGCCGCCCTCTGTGGCACCACGGCTCAGGGTGACGGGGCTGGGGGCTGCATGGGAACCAGGACGTGTGCAGCAGGACCCCCATTCCCACCTCTCCCAGGTCCCCCGATCCCTAGGGGCAAAGGGGCCCACCTGGAGCCCTGTGGTGGCTTCGGCCTCCCGAAGATCCCTTCCGCCTGCGCACTGAGGTCTCCTGGCAGGACCAAGGGAGGGAAGAGAAAGGGGTGCCCGTCTCCAGGAGACAAAGGTGTGACCCGCCTTTGTGACTGCTCTCTCTGAGGGCCGTGTCCCACCTGAAATCCGGTTTTGATTCCCAGCAAGTGGGGGGAAGATGCTCCTGTGTGCTCTCTCCAGTTGTAACCTGGGCTCCAACTTTCGGTGCTCCTGCCTCAGCCCTGCAGGGGTTATAGGCATATACCACTGCCCAGCCCTAATTTGTTTCTCGGTCTTTTGGGGGGTTTGTCGTTTTTGCTTTGTTTGGTTTTGTTCTGAGACGAGGTCTCACCATGTCGCCAGTTCCCATGAAACGGACCTCTGCTGGTGTCACCAAAGAAGGTTGTGACAGGCACAGCCCCACCAGCAGGGTTTCAAAGTTGCGAAAACTCCGTCTTGTCACACATCAGAATCGTGCCAGTTGGGTTGACCAGAAAGGTATCACCTTGTGTTTTAAGACACATGTGCCGCATATGGAGTGAATACGTTAGCAACACGTGCACACACACACACACACACCAACAAAAGCTCTGATTTGGCCTGCAGCCATGGTGCCGAGGCCCTGTATCAGTGAGGTCCATCTTCGGAAAGTGCGGACCAGGGAAGGTGCTGTGAGAATTGCACACCATGGCCGCAGAGCGTGCCCCCTGGCTCGGAGCTGTTTTGCCATTGTGCTGAGAATGCCTCTGTCTGAGGGGACAGTCGCAGGAACCGGGCTCAGCAGAAGGCAGCACGGGAACGACATGCCAGCCCCTGGCAGGAGTAAACACCGAGGGAGCAGATGCCATTCTCACATCCACCAGTTCTCAGCCCCCTGTGGGTGGACGATGACAGCAGTGCCAAGGCCCCGCCCTGCTGTCTCACAGGCAAGAGGCAGCTGCCCCGGGAGCCCTTGGTGGCCTTTTCCATTCGGCCCCTACCCCAGCCCTTTCCGATCCCATGGCATTTGTTCAGAAATGATCATTTACTTCCAGCCAAAACCCACATGTTCTCTCTCCAGTGTGTCTCTCGGTCTTATTTCAAGACAGTTTATCCTCCAGAAAAGGAGCCTCTACCCGTAGACTAGGGTTGAAATATTGGGGTTAAGGTATTGGTTCATGGCCTGTTAGGAACCCAGTGGCACAGAGGAAGGTAAGTGGTGGGCAGAGAAGTGAAGCTTCATCTGTATTTACTCTTGCTCCCACCTGGGCTCCACCTGCTACCAGATCAACAGCAGCATTGGAGTCTTAGGGCAGTACAGACCCTGCTGTGGACTGTGCATGTGAGGGCTCTAGGCTGTGTGCTCCCTATAGGAAACTCGTGCCTAATGATGTGAGATGGAGCTGAGGCAGAGAGGCTAGTGCTGGGGAGGGGCTGCAAAGACAGTCACATTAACAGAAAGGTTTGACAGCGCAGAGCACATAGCGCAGCAAGTGCTGGCAGACTCACATCGAAACCTTCTCAGTGAGTGGCAAGTTACAGGCTGCATCTGGTGGCAGGCTTGAAGGCAGAATCCAACACTTATTTTAGCCTTCCTATGGCCTGCCCATTCTTTTCTTTACTACTTCCATTAGCACCTCTGTCCTGTATTCCTCACTTGTCCCCATTCCAGTGGTGGTAATATCACAAGCTCACCTTCACCAAAATGAGTAAAACATAGATGTCACTAGAGACCTTTGAAAGTGAGGAAAGACCCACCGATGAGACAGTGGAAGATGCTAAGACTGCCAACAAAGAGAAAGCTGCTGAAAGGAAATATCAAGAGCCCATTTAAACCATGGGTTCATTTCAACAGGTGATTCACATTCCCCAAGCCCATTTTCTATAATACGTGGGGACCAGTGAAGCCATAAATGCTTCAAAACTGCTTCACCTCATGGAGACCGGGCATCCTGCCTTAACAGACAAGGCTTTCAAGTCTTTCATTAAGAAAATAATGTGAACATGAAGAGCAGATGCAATTATTGGTAGCCATCCATCACTTTATCAAATCCATCTGCACCGGGAGCATCATTCTTAGTGGCTGCCCACATTGCTAATGCTCAGAAGCCCTTTACTACCGGTAAAGAGTTGATCCTGCCTGCTGCTAAGGACATTTATTGTGAGCTTTCAGGAGAGGATGCAGTTCAAAAGGCGGCATGTGTTCCTCGTTTAGGTAGCACCAGAACTAGATGAAGTGATGAAATAGCAGAAGGTACTGAGGCACAGTTGTTTGAGAGGAATCGTGAGTCACCATGGTACTCAATCCAGGCCGAGGAGACTACTGCTCTTGACTCTGCAGCAAGACAACAATGATATATTTCTCAGGAGGATGTGCTGAGGTTGTACAATGTGAACTTTTGTTGCCCGTCAACGCCACAGCTGCAGAGCCGTTCAAGCATTGAATGGTCACACATCAGAAACACTGAATTGGTCATCTGTGTCAATATATGCATAGAGGGAGCAGCTGCTATGACTGGATGTCTCATGGTTTTACTTCTTGGGTCAAGGAGGTCCCATCTGAGTGAGTCTACACCTTGTGTCATCCACTGGGAAGTGCTGAAAAGCGCCACCTGAACTTAAGAGTGTTCTGCAGGGTGTGAGTAAAACTATTTGCCACATTAAGGCACAAGCCCTTCACATCTGTCGGTGCAGCTCTGAGGGGAGATGGTGCAGAGCTCACACATCTTCTCTTACACACACAAGCGAGGTGGCTTCTAAAGATCAACCTCTGGCCAGAGCTTTAGTGTTATGAGAGCTGTTGCAGAGATTTCTTTAAAAACAAAAAAAACAAAAAAACAGTCATCACTGGCAGCACATCTCATTGACACAGAATGGGTCTCAAACCCACTTACTCGGGTGACATTCCACTGCTCGATGAGTTCAGTCTGTCACTTCAGGGGAGAGTGACAGTTGTGTTCAAGTTTGTAGATGAGATGGCTGTACTTGAAGCTAAACTGGCATTATTGCAGGGGTGGCAAGTGAACACTGGACATTTTGAATAATGTTTCAAACAATAGCAGAAATTTTGAAAGAGACTGGGCCAGAACCCTCTTTCTCCTGGCTGGTGCATGATCCTCTAACTTCAAAGGAGTTTGACCATCACCTCCCAACCTGAGAAGACCTCTACACTGGGCAGGAATGGGCCCAGGACTCATTTGTGAATAGCACTCTGTGCTAGAAGAGGATCAACTGCTTCAGACTGCAGACGACGCTGGCCTTAAAAGACAACTTCAGATCTCCTTATATCCTGGAGATTTGGGTTAACATCAAGGCAGGATATTCTGGGGTTGCCATAAAAGCCTGATTCCTTTTCCAGCATTCCATCTTTGTGAAGCAGGGCTCTCTGCAGCAATGACAGCAAAACCACGGTACGGAATACACTGTACAGCATCACTGTCTCCCTTCACCCCCCGCAATCTGGTTGCAAGAGAACAATGTGAGGGCTCCCGCTGATTCTGTAGTATGGTGAGTTAAATGATTACTTATCCTATATTATAACATATGTAATAATAATAGAAGTAAAGTGCACAATAAATGTAAGGTCCTTAAGTCATCCTGAAACCATCCCCTCCTCCCCTACCCATGGAAAAATTTCTTCCACGAAACTTGTTCTTGGTGCCAAAAGTATTGGGGACCGCTGTCCTAGAAGACATCTGATTTCCCAGTTCTTGTGTCCATGTATTTCATAATACAGTGCAAGCTTAGCTTAGAGCTACAATTAAATTATAGCATAACCATCAGTGTGGACACAATCCCATGCACCCTGGTGTAGGGAACAGGGAAGGGACGTTCCTAGAAGCTCTACAGTAGTCCTAGTCTCCCGACAGCACAAGGCCCACTAATTAACAAAGCAAAAATAGAAAAATGAGACTTAGAGAAGAAGCTGTGCTTTAGGCCGGATCAGTGCTGCTCTGGGCAGCAAAGATGAAAGAGCAGGAGTAACAACTGCAACAGATGACTCGGACAGCTGTTTGTACTGAACGGGGGTAACAGTGTAAGGGGTGAAGATTTTGTTCCCCCCAGGATGTCTCCAGCAGGTGTGGTCCTGTCCTGGAGCATCGCAGCGTCACCGGACCACTGAGGTCTTAGCTGTGACCGGAGGCCAAAATGGACCCATGTCTCTCCGTGCCACGGCTGGCCTGTAGGCAGGGGAGCTAGGCCTAATCATGACTTCAGTTGTGAAATGAATTTTCCCCCCAAATTATGTGGAATTGCTTCCGACACACTGGTAGGGAATTTCTCTAAGATGTGGCACAGGAAAAGCTCAAGTGTAAGATAGGGTGTACTACGCTGCCAGTAGTAATTATTTAAGCAGAGACAAATACATACACATACACATACACGAAACCCACCCAGACATTTAAGAAATACTGATGAGGCCTGCCTCGCGTGTGCAAGGTCCTGAGTTCTATCCCCGGTACCAAAAACAAGATGGATGGATGGATGGATGGATGGATGGATGGACGGACGGACGGATGGACGGATGGATGGAAGGATGGATAAATAGATGGATAGATAGAGAGCAATACTAATGAGCTGAGTGTGGTGGTGCATTCCTGTAGTCACTCTTTGGAAGCTGAAGCAGGAGAATCTCAGGTTCAAGTTCAATCTGGGCAACTTAGTGATTTAGTGAAACCCTGTCTCAAAATGAAAAAAAATGGTGCGTGGTGGGGAAGCTGGAGATGTAGCTCAGGGCAAAGGCCCTAGGCTCAGTATCCAGTACCACAAAAAAAAAAAAAAAAAAAAAAAAGGAAAGAAGGCAGGAGGGAAGGAAGGAAGGAAGGAAGGAAAAGAAAAAGAGAGTCATTTGGGAAAAAGGATTAAAAGACTGAAGTGGGAAAAATATGGAAGGTACACAGTGCTACTTCGGTTCATGAACTTAATTCTTTACACGATTCTGATTGCAAACCAAATTGGTCATGAACCCAGGTGAATTTTCCCATAAGGTTCAACATCACCCCATGCAGAGTTCTAGAATGGAAGCAAAATTTTGCCGAATGTTTCTGACCCGACTGAGGGCACGTGCACCAAATTGTTCGCCGGTAGAAGCGTTTGTGAACTGAAGTCCCCCTGAATTCTAGTCCAGGTAGAAAGTACAATAAGAACTTAGTTGAAGGATCAGATACTATTATTGGAGAAAGGAATATTTTGGGACGGTGGGGCTTCTCGGAATGAAAAGGAGATATGTCTCACATGCAAACAAACATTCAGATTCTCCTATCCACCGTTGCATTTTAAAACTTGGCGTTAATTATAGGTATTTCCATAGCAGCATGCTGAGGGGAAGGAGTTAAAATGAGCCCTCCCAGCTGTCCCCAGCCATACTTGTTGGCTTTGGCGAATCACTTAAATGTCCTGAGCTCAGCGTCCTCCCCTGTGAGACCGGGTGATATTTCTTTCTAGGTTAAGGAAGGTGTGCAGATGAAAGCCCCAGTGTAACGCCTGACCCTCGTTTCACTTTCCTGGTGCCCCTAATCATGGCATTGGAGTGTGAAATGGGCTTTCAGTAGATAGTGCTTCTATTGATACATTCAAAAACCACACTCAAGATCTGGCTACTGGTAAGAGTTCATTTCCTAATTCACATGTTTCCCTGCCAAGACCACTTAGTATCTTTGTTTTTTTGTATTTTTTTTTTTCTCTTCACTGGGGCATGATTCCCAACCCCCACAAGTTAAAGTTTATTTCGGCTCATAGTGTGAAGAGGTTCCAGTCCATGGTTGGCAGGGCAGCAAGGCCGGGGGACCTGGCAGACAGGAAGCCGAGAGAAAGAAATCAGGAAAGCAAGGAGGGAGATAGAGCCTTCCAGGCCACAAACCCAGGGACCACCTCCTCCGACCAGACCTACCTCTGAAAATCACTTTTAGCTGTACACCCACCGGTGGACTGATCTGCGTCCCCGGTCAGCTCCCCAAAGGCCCGACTAGGAGTGCATGAGGCTTTGGGCGACACCTGGGCACAGCTCATCACAGTGAGCTTCCTCCGAGTGGGGCCTGCCGCCTTCCTGGGTCTCTGGCATCCAGCACATGACGGGCTTTGCCGTCTGTCTCCACAGGGAATGTGAGCATCGAGCTAAGTCCATGGATGGCGAGATCGAAGCCTATAAGAAGTCCATCATAAAGGAGGAAGAGAAGAATGAGAAGCTGGCCAGTATCCTGAACCGGGCCGAGACGGAAGCCAGCCTGATGCAGAAACTGACTGCACAGTGCCTGGCCAAGCAGGAGGCCCTGCAGGACGAGTTCAACACCTACCACCTCACCCTGCAGAACACGGAGGACGCCCTGAGCAGGGGGCTCCAGGTGCGCCGCGCTCCCCTCCCCTCGGGCCAGTGCTGGTGGCTCACCCTCGGTGGCCCCCCAGGAATGTCCTGCCTGTGGCTCTTCCTCCGCAGGAGCACACGGTGGCCACGAACGACCTGCAGGCCATCCGCCAGGCCATCCGCCACGAGCAGGACCTGCGCCACAAGCTGGACGCCTCCATCGTCAGCAAGCTGCAGGAGCACATGACCTCCAACAAGATGACCAAATACTCCCACAAGCTCCTCCTGAAGCTCCAGAAGGAGAAAACCAACATGGTAGGCCGGGCCCCGCTGGGGACGGGCACGCGGTGGGCACCGCCGCCTAAGCCACTGGAGCACCAGAGGCAGGAAGAGGACAGCAGGACAGCTCTAGCCCCCTTCTTTAAATGCTGCTCCCTGTGTCTCCTTCTGGATCTTCTTCTGTCGCACACATAGCGCACACTCATTCTCACGCCGCAGATACAGGTGTGCAGACACACCTTTGCCCCTTTGCACACATGAGCAAACAACACCCATCCACACTTGCCAACGTGCCCACACTCAAACTCCCGCAGACACACGCTGCACACCTCAGACAACATCAGACTCATCAGGTGATTTGAATCCATTTTCTAACAGTTTTACAGAGAGAAAAGTACACAAATATTAAATGTGGGAGTCACTGAATTTTTCTCTGCTTAGGTGTTTTGTTTTGTTTTGTTTTGTGATACTGGAGATTCAACTCAAGGCCTTTACACTGAGCTACATGTCCAGCCCTGTTTTAAAAAACAATTTTATTTTTTTTCCCCCTGAGGCAGGACCTTGCTAAGTTACTCAGGCTGGGCTCCAACTTTGGATCTTTAGATTTGAACTTTGGATTTCAGGCACACCCCACCATGCCTAGCTGTACATCGAGGTCAATTGGGTCTCAAGCGACCCCCCTCAGGACCCTACCACTGTCGTGTTAGCACAGCCACATGCCTGGCCCTCTGTACCTGAAAGCTCCCAGAGGGTCACACCTACTGCCCATGAAGATGTGTGCAGATGCCCAGGGGAGGGCCAGAGGCAGGGCTCCCCAGTTAAACAGGATGTGCATCCATTGCATACAGATTAGAAGCCACGGTTAAGTGTTTCCCACAGTGCTGTCTAGACCAGAGATATTTACTACAGATGGCTCACATAAGGCTAGGGTCTTGTTCTCCTCGGCCTGGGACATCAGCCGGGAGCCCTGTTAGGAACCATTAAAGACTGGAGTCAGCATCCAGCAGTAACTGTGGCTGCTCCATATACCTTGTCGTGGATCCTGCAGAGTAGTGTACAGCTGTTAGAGATCACATAGCATAGAGCTTAAGACATGATTTATCAAAGTTAAAAGCAGGTTACAATCTCTAACCCCACAACGTGTGCTACTACAGACTTTTATTTGCTTTTTTGTTTTTTAGAGACAGGGTCTCACTATGTAGTTGAGACTGACCTGGAACTCACTATGAAGCCCAGGCCGGTCTCGAACTCACAGCGATCCTCCTGCCTCAGCCTCCCAAGTGCTGGGACTATAGGCCTGTGCGTGCCGCCATGCCTGGCTTTTTCCCCCCACTTTTCCAATTGGCCATACAGATTAATGAGTTTTATTTTGGCAGATTCATACATGCACATAACATACTTTGATCATTTTCACCCCTGCCACCCCTCTTGCCCTGCCCTACCCCGTAGTTTCACATTTTGGGGAAGTCTAGATGTGTGTGATATCTTTTGATCATATCTGTGCCCGTTACCCACCCTGACGCTCCCTTCCCCTCCCCCTTCTTCCATTCCTCTTGACTAATAATAATCTCCCTTCTACTTTCTTGTCCTGTCTTTTAGATTCCACATATTTGAGGGAACGTGTGATATTTGTCTGATTTTGGCTTATTTTGCTCAACATCATGGTCTCCAGATCCATCCATTTTTCTGCAGATGATAGAATTTTGTTCTCCCTCATGTGACTGGATAATACTCCATTGTGAAATCCCATATACCACATTTTCTTTATCCATGCACCTACTGATGGGCATCTGGGCTGTTTCCATTATCTTGACTCTTGCAGATTATGCCAGAGTGAACCTCAGTGTGCAGGTGTCCCCAGCATGCTGACTTCAGTTGCTTTCGGTGTACACCAAGGAAGAGTACAGCTAGGTTGTGTGGCACTATTTTTAGGTTTCTGAGGAATCTCTGCACTGGTTTTCATACTAGTGGTACTAGTTTATATTCCCGCCAGCAAGTATGGAAGGGTTCCTTTTCCCTTGTCCTCGCCAGCGTGCGTGCGTGTGTGTTCTTGGGTACAACCCTTCTGACTGAAATGAGATGGAATCTCAATATAGTTTTGCTTTGCATTTCCCTAACAGCTAACGATGTTAAACATCTTTTCATGCACTTATTTTCCTTTTGTACTCCCTCTTTTGAGAAGAGTCTGTTCGATTCATTTGTCCGTTTACTCACGGGTCTGTTTGATTCTTGGTATGAAGTTTTGGGGGCCTTTCTATGTTCTAGATATTAATTCTCTGTCAGAAGGGAAGCTGGCAAACGTTTTGCCCCTCTGTCACTTGTCTCTTCCCTCTGTTCGGCGTTCTCTTGCTGTGCAGAAACGTTTCGTAGTAATTGGATGCCGTCCCATTTACGGATTCCTCTCATTATTTCCCGTGCTGCTGGCGTCCCATCCAGGAAGCCTCGGCCTGTGCCCGTGGCTCTGCTTTCTTTTAGCAGTTTCAGAGTTTCAGGTCATCTACTGGATCTTTGATCCATTTTGAACTGATTTTTGTACAAGGTGAGAGATAGGGATCTAGTTTCAGTCTTCTACCAGTGGACGTCGCTCCACCAGCACCATCTGTCAGCAAGGCCGTCCTTTCTCCAACATATTTTGGCTCTTTTGTAAAGAATCAGAAGCTGTACTTGTGTGGGTTTGTGTCTGTGACATCTGTTCTGCCCCCTTGGCCTATGTATTTTCCACCTAGTACCATGACGTTTTTGTTACTATGGATTGACATCTGGTATCATGATACCTCTAGCTAGCCTGGGTCTTTTGTGCACTCTTTTTGTGTATGTGTGCCAGGAATTTAACTCAGGTCACTGCGCTTGTGAGGCAGGCCGCGGAACCACTGAACTAAACCCGCAGCCCAGGTCTTCTGTGTTTCCATGTGAATTTTGATTGTTTTTTTCTAGTTCTGTGAAGAATAGTATTGGTTGCTGGGGATTTAGCTCAGCAGTTTGGAGGCCTGCCTTGCAAGCGCAAGGACCTGAGTTCAATCCCCGGTACCAAAAAAAAAAAAGAGAATACTATTGGTTTTTAAATTTTTTTAATTTAAAATTTTTTTCTTGGTACGTGTTTCCTACATGTGATGTTCACACTCGGGGAGTTAGGTACGTGTACTTCACATATCTTATTTCTTTGTATTCCCTTCCCCTCAATACCCTTCTCCCTCTGTCTGTAGATCCCCTTCCTGTGGGTAGTTGGTACATGTACATGACACATCTTAAATCTTTTTGTGTCCCCTTCCCCTCCCCGATTCTCCCACCTTTGGTCTCTTTTCTTCTTCCCATTTGCATAAGATCTGTCTTCCTGTTTCCTTTTATCAGTCTTTTATTTTGTTCTTCACTTTGTGCTTTGAATTACTCACATGAGAGAAACCATACAGCATTTAAGCTTGTGTGCCTGATTTATTTCACGAACATGTTTTTGAGGTGCACCCTTTTTCCTACAAATGTTTCAAATTTATCTTTTTTTATAGCTGAGTATTTTTCCATTATGTATAGATACCACATTCTTTATCCATTATCTTGATGGACATATAGATGGCTTCCAAGATTTAGCTATTATGAATTGTGCTGCTATAAACATTGGTATGCATGTATTACTGTAATATGATGTCTTTAACTCTCCCAGGCGTTTATAAATTTTCTGTGCTTTCTTATATGATTGATGTCTAGTTTCAGTGGGTAATGGTTGATAGTAAGCGTGGGGTGATTTCCATTCTTTTCCACTTATTTAAGTGGGTTTGTGGGCTAGTATATGATCTATTTTGGAGAAAGTTCTGTGTTCTGCTGAGAAGAATGTATATTCTGTCGTTGTGGGTTAGAGCACTCTTTAGATAGCTATTAAATCCATTTGTTCAAAAATGTGATTCTGCTCTGATATTTCCTTGCTGAATTTTTTGTTTACTTTAGCTGTCTCTTTGTAAAAGTAGGGTATTGAGATCACCCACTATGATTATCTTGATATTTATATGATCATTTATGTACAGTAGTATTTGCTTTCTGAAATTAGATGATCCAGTATTTGGTGCATATATATTTACAAATGTTATCTGTTCTTGTTGGATTGTTCTCTTGGCTAGTATGTAGTGACCTTATTTACCTCTTCTGATCAGTTTTATCTTGAAGTTTATTTTTTCTGAGTGTAAAACTGTGGCCCCTGATTGCTTTCAGGGTCATGGTGCATGACATACTGTTTTCCATCAGTATTTTTAGTTTATGAATATCTTTTTTGATTAGATGAGTTTCTTGAGTGCAACAGTCTGTTGGGTTCTGTTCTTTGATCCAGTCTGCCAGTCTGTGTCTTTTAACTGGGGAGATGAGGCCATTAATATTGAGAGATATTATTGAAAAGTATTGACTTATTCCAATCTTTCTGTTGATGACTCCTTTAAATTAGCTTTCTTTTTTTCTTTGCTTATCTATTTGCCTTGCTTGATCTATGCATTCTATCTGAATTTTTGGCTTCGTTGGTTACATTTTCTCTGACTAGAATATTCTTGACTATTTTTTGGCGTGTCGATTTGATGTTCATGTATCTCTTGAGTTGTTTTCATGGAATGTCCTTATGTTTTCATCTCTTTTGAGAGTTTTGTAGGATATTTTAATCTGGGTTGGAAGATGTTTGCTTTTAGGGCTTGAAATACTTTACTCCCTGTTCTCCTAGCCTTTAAAGTTTGTGTGGTGAAGTCTGCTGTAATCCTAATGGGATTATACATGATATTTGGCTTTTCTTTGACAGCCCTTAAGATTCTGTCTTTCTGTTGTACATCTGAGAATTTGACTAAGGTGTGTTATAAAGAGCTTCTTTTGTCATCATAATTAGTTGGTGTCCTTCAAGCTGTATTTGGTAAGTTTTCTATTACGATTTCTATGAAAAGATTTTTTTATTCTACATTTACTGTCTTCTAGTTTCTCTCTTTCTCTAACTTCAACTAGCCTTAGGTTGGTCTCAACATTGTCTAGTACCTGTGGAATGAATGTTTCTTGTTCTATAATCGTTGTTAAGTTTCTCTGAGTATTTCATTATAGTTACATTGTGTCCTTGATTTCAGAAACCCTGTCTTCACAGTGGTCATTTCCTCATTTTTATGAATTCTATACAATTTTTTTATTTCTGGCAGTTTTGCCTGACATCTCTTCATGGAGGCTGTATCTTTGGTAAATTTGTCATTAATGGTTGGAGCCATTTTGATAAGCTCTGTCCATTACCTGTTTCTCCCATATCCCATTCCTCAGTTTGTATGATAGATCTGTGAGATTTGGGGGCATGCCCTCTCTGAACTCCCTGAGTTTCTCTACCTCTCCTTTAATGGATTCTTAAAGCTCTTCTACCCAAAGCTTGCTTTCTTCTCTTCAGTGCCCAGTGGATCTGACTTGTGAGAGTTGGAAGACCATGGAAGCCTTTGGTTGCCATGTCTTCCCTTGTTTCTGGCCAGGGAAGATGTTTGCTTTGGGGCAGGGAGTTGAGGTCAAGTGAAGTGAGGTAAGACTGCCGTCGCTATGGTCTTTCTAGCTATATTCTGCCTTACAGTGATGTGGTCATGGGCGTATTTGTCCAAAGATAGTGTTCACCCCATTTGGGTATTTAATTTAAATGGTTGGCCCCTCTCCCTGTGTTGTGAGGAGAGAATTACTACAGATTATAACAGCATCAACAGATACAGAACTACCCCACTTATATGCATTAAACCTTGCGATTGCACTTTGAGCTTGTATCGGTACCCTTGATGGTCTATAATGTATTGTTGGTAGTGATTAGCCTGCAGTGTGGAAGGGGAAGGAAGGGGAGAAAGAGAGGTATTGACAAAAGGAGTAAGTCACTGGGAGGAGAGGTACATAGGAAAAATGGGTAAAAAATTAGTCAGATTCTTTTTGAGACTCTTTTATAGTTGGAGTCAAAGATTAATTAGCATTCAGGGTTTTAGAAACTGTGGGGATGGATGAGATGGGACGTTGCAGGAAGAGGCTACAATTCGGGACTGAGGAAAGCTTCCAGGCTGTCAGAACCTGTTGGTGTATTTGTGCACCGATAATGTGGAGAAGAGGCAGGGTGAAAAAAAAAGAAAAACCAAGGGCCAGGTAAAACAAAGAAGAGCAAAAGGAAGAGGATACAGAGAACTGAAGGAGAATAGGAAAAGACAGAAAAAACAGGGGCAGCAGAATCACAGAATACAGGAAAAGAGCAGAATAGGGAAAAACTTGAAAAGCAAAAATAAGACAATAGTATTGATAGAGAAGGTAGAATTGAAGAAAAGGAATAGGGAGATGAGAAGAGAAAGAGAAAAATAACAACTGTGTCAAAACCAAAAAATTAAAAGGAAAAAGAAAAATAGCAACAACAAAAAATCTGTCAGGACCCCAGATCAAACAACTCCAGCCAGGGGCCAGGGATTTAGCTCAGTGGTGATGCCGCCTGCCTCGCTAGCACAAGGTCCCCAGTTTGATCCCCCCCTTGTACCAAACAAACAACAAATAAACACTCCAGCGAGAGAACACTCATGCAGTTCTCCCATATCCGCTGTGCTGAATGTTCTCTCAGAGAACTGTGCCCGTCTTTCCTCGGTGGTCCACCTGCAGGCAGCCACATCAGGCTCTGGTGAGGGGTGCCCACTTCTCTGAGTCCACCCCTGCATCTCTGCATTGCAGGCTGGGTGTGGGCACGGTTGACTGCAGTCTTCTGTCTCGGTCCTGCAACCCAACCTCCTCATTAATTTGGGAGGAGGACAGTATGAAATATTTTTCTGACACTGAGCTCTTATTCATCTTCTGCCAGCATCCTAGGACTCCTGCTTCTCTTTGTGCGCGGCAAATCTCCATGTTGTTGTTTCAGATATTTTGTTTTGTCACAAGCGGTTCTCCGCCCCAGTAGGTCCCATCTTTTCCTTTGCGTTCAAATCCCGAGCTTAGCCTGTCGCATGAATCCCCCTTTCCAGCCAGCAAGCGGAGTCTGGTGTGGTCCCTGGGCTTGGTTGGAGGACTTCTTGAGCCCCACTGAACGTGATGACTGCTGTTCAGGATTCCTCCTCCCTGTCTCCGGTGATGTGATCCACAGTGGGAGCCTGCAGCAGACTCAGTGGGCACCGTTTGCTGTGTTCGCCCTCTCTCGGCCTGGGGTGGGGAAGAGCACTGGAGAAGATGCTGCAGAGATGCAGTGTTGCCAGTGTTGGGGCAGCAGGGGAGAGAAGGGGCCCTGTCCCAGGGTCTGACCTCTACAGTAACACGTCCCTCCCCTCAGGCTGTCTGGGATGCTTTCAATGGCTGCTCCCTGGAGAAGCGGCGGCCAGAGCAGCGGGGACCAGCTATGGGGCATTTCGGGGTAGAGGTATCTACTACCTGCGTCTCAGAGAACCTGTATTTTCAGTGGGTCTTCTTTGAATTCTCAGCCATGACGCTGCCTCTGGTCAGCCACGTTGGACCTCTTGTCATTGGTATTTTGATGGAGATCGCGCATTGAATCTGTGTATTGCTTTTTTGCAAGGTGGCCATTTTGGCAATATTAATTCTACCGGCCCTTGAACATGGGAGTTTTTTCTGTCTTCTGGTGCTTTCCTTAATTTCTTTCTTCAGTGTTCTGAGAGGTCTTTCGTTCCCTTAGAGTGATCCCTCAGTATATTGTTCTACCTGAAGCTATTGCGAATGGAATTGTTTTCCTGAATTCTTTCAAAGTTAGTTCATTATTGGTCTATAGTAAAGCTATTGGTTTGTTGTTTTTTTGTTTTGTTTGTTTGTTTTTTGGAGGGGTACCGGTGAACAAACTCAGGCCCTTGCACTTGGCAAGGCAGGTGGCAGCACCACTGATCTAAATCTCTGGCCCAGCTATTCATTTTTTAATATTGATTTCATACCCTGCTACATTCCTGAATTCATTTACCAGCTGTAAACATCTTTTTTTTCTCAGTACCAGGGATCGAACTCAGGACCTTCACTTGTGAGATAGGCTCAGTGCCACTGAGCTGAATGCCCGGCCCTCTAAACATCTTTTGGTAGAATCTCAGGGTCTTCTAAGTGGGGGACCCTGTTACCTGCAAGCAAGGCTACTGCCTGTTTAGTAAGGAAGACCACGAGTATTACCTCTCTTTTCTTGTAAGAAGTTACCATCCTGGTTCCAGCACGCAGGCCCTGGCTAGCTCCTAGCACAGAGGGGTGGCTGTGAGCCTTGTTGCTCAGTTGTCCCTTTGAACTTTCTCCTGATGAGCATCCAGAGAGGCAAGGAGATGAGACAGCAAGCTCACTGGGCCCACCCGAGGGAAAATGTTCACCTTTCCCTTTCCTCTTCCTCACTCAGGTGACACATCTTTCCAAAATCGATGGCGACATCGCACAGACCACCCTGGACATCACCAACACCAGCTGCAGACTTGACATGCATCAGAAGACGCTGGCCGAGCTGGACCAGGAGGTGAAAAAAGTCAAAGACCTCATCACCAACAGTGAGAACGAGATCTCCCGGCGCACGATCTTGATCGAGAGGAAGCAGGGTCTCATCAATTTCCTCAACAAGCAGCTGGAGCAGATGGTTTCGGAGCTGGGGGTGAGGCCTGGGCGGGGAGAGGCAATGTGGCCTGCTCTGCTCCTGGTGGGGGCAGAGCCCCTGTCGTAGAACAGTCAGCTTTCTTGCCCTCCCTGTGTGGAGTGTGCAGACACTGTAGGCAGAGGCTCCTATGCTCTGCTAGATAATAAAGGTGGTAGGCACTGTAGGCCGGATGTCCTGGCCCAGCCTTTGCAGCCAGAAGGGAGCCACAGGCAACGGGTGCAGCAAAGGACTGGGTTGCATCCACTGAGGAGCTGGCCACTGAAATTTGCATTCGGTGTCATTTTCACCTGGCCCTGAGCAGTCCTCTGTTTTTGATTTTGTTAATGGTTTGTGGCCCAAACAGACAGCAGTGGGCTGGGTTTCACCCACTGTCCCTGATCTAAGGACAGGGGTCTGACTAACCTGAAGCTCTAACCTAAGGAAACTGCGGGTCACTGTGCCAGTGGAAGGGCAGCAATGTGAGAGCTCAGGCGGGCCCCTACACCGGACATCCCCCTTTGACTCTAAAAGCCACACAACCCAGCGGCCCCTCAGGCCTGCTGTGGTGGACAGTGTTCCAACTAGCGGGGCAGAGGCCTCACCCACAGGGACCTCTATGGCTTAGCCCTGGGTCCTCACACCTGGGAACCAATGCAGTCCCCCCTGAGAGGTAGCAGAGCCACTCAGAGTAAATGGCCTGGGCCTCTGCAGCCCCTCAGAAGGAGACCTCTGAACTCTGCGTTCTGGCCAACGTCCCTCCTAGGGGGAAGAAGTGGGGCCCCTGGAGCTGGAGATCAAGAGGCTGACCAAGCTGGCGGAAGAGCACAGCGCCAGCGTGACTCAGGCCCAGGTAACCTGGCTCCGCCTGCAGCAGGAGCTGGTCAAGGTCACGCAGGAACGTGAGGAGCAGCTGGTGTCCTTGGACGCGCTCAGGAAGGAGATCCACATCTTGGAGCAGAAGAAGCTGCGCACGGAGAGTAGGCTACGTTGTGCATCCTCTGGGGCAGGGGCCCCCAAGGCAGATGCGGCTCTGGGCTCCCACACAACAGAAACGCTCCAGCCATGCGTTTCCTAAGTACGAGGCTCGCCCAGCTGCTGGCTTGCAGCCACAGTGAGAGGTGACAACATGCACTGAACTGGTCAGAGTTCGTGGATTCGGGGCTCCCTAGAGAGGAGGATGGCACTGCCACCTCATAAACCAGAAGTGCTGATTTCAAGGCTGTGGGGCCACTGGCTGTCCCCAAGCTCAAGCCAGATGACGTCCTAGCGTCCACTACAGCCAAGCTCAGAAAACTCCTGTGTCCCCAGGGCTATCAGCCATCCTGTCCCCTTCACCCAGGCTGCATCGCAGACCTCAAAGTCTGCCCACCTGCCAGGGTTCAAGGCACTGGGCCTGTCCTGCCTAGGCCGCCCATGTGCCAGCTGCTGAGATGTCCTGGGTCAGAGATCCAGGCAGGCCCGCTCTGCTTGGCCACTTCTCAGAGGCCTGGCTGCCCTGCTGCCCTGCTTTGGGGTCCCTTGGCCAGCTTGGTGGACAGTGGAGGGTACACATGACTCACAGAGATGTCAGTGGGATGCAGCTGTGGGAAGGCCAGAGCTGAACAAAACACCAAGCGTGGTTACAGGGTGAGATCTGTCGGGAGGAGTGAGGGCAACAGAGCAGGGTGTGGGTGACCAAGCGTTGGGGTGCTCAGGAGCCCCAGTGGTGGGAAGGGTGGCAGGAGAGGCAGAGAACCTTGGAGCCTGGCAGACTACATGCATTAGGTGTCCTTCTCCTGTCTCGATGTCAAGAATATCCGTCACGTTGTGCCCTGCCCTGAGCCTGGCTGTCTCACAGACTGGAGGCGCCCCCACCTCAGGCAGTGGAGCCCCACCCTCCCACTCGCATCACGCTCGCCTTCCCACACTTACTGCGCCCTCAGCCAGGGTCCTCAAGGGTCCCTCGAAGGCCCAGGCGTTGGCAGAGTAGCACCAGGAAGAGACCCCTGTCCTGCCTTCTGGCCCAGCACAGGTGCAACTCAGCGGGGGCCCCAAGAAGGACCAGGGGTGGAAAGGGAGAAGCAAACCCTGGCCCCTCTTGCGGGCTTCATTTCTGCTGCCTTAGCAAGGACCCTGCCTCCACTCTCTGCACAGACAAGATCGAGCAGGTGAAGAGGGATCGGAAGGAGATTGACCGGCACATGAAGGACCTGGACCAGGACCTGAAGAAGCTCAACGTGCTGTTGAGCAAGAACCGTTGCAACTCGGAGGAACTGCAGCACAGCAACGTGGTGGCCGAAACAGAGTTTGTGCGTGGACTGAAGGTCAGCTCGCCCCGCCCAGAGCAGGTCCCCGTGACACGGGCCGGGAGACGTGTGTCCTTGATTTGGGCTGCAGCTCTTCCATCTGTGATGGAAACTGGGTGCCACAGCCCCAGTGTCCATGGTCCCAGGTCCTCCCCACAGCTCTCCTGCTCTTGCCCTGCAGGATGCAGAGAGGGAGACCATTGAGATGCAGGAGAAATTGAACCAGCTTTCTGAGGAGAAGGCCTCCCTCCTCAACAGCCTGGTGGAGGCAGAGTGAGTCTTGGGTGCTGCCCTTCGTCTGCTCTAAATGTCACCGCCCCTGCAGTGCATCCGTGGGTGTGGCCACCATTCATTAGGACCACTGAGGGTGGCTCTGAGTCAGCCTTCAAAGATCCCAGAAGATCCACAGAAAGCCAACTCGGGCATCTGGTCTACCACCGTTGGTGGCAGCCCTCCAGTTACCACTGGAAATCGAGTGGCTTTTTTAGACATAAATTTGTTAAAATGTATATTATTTTTATGGTGCCTGATTATCAAACACCCAACCCTAAGCATCTTAACTGTAACAAGAAGGAAGGGGAAAACATAGGATTCTAACTCTCTTCCTTTTCCAGAAAAACACTGTGTAGGTATATTTCTTTCTTCTTGTGTTCTTAGCAAACCATTCCCCTTTGAAGCTGTCTTTGTGGCTGTCTTTCCATGCACTGCATGTGGGTCTACATTTCCAGTTGGAATGGTCGCTGGGTCCAGGCCTTGTGGGTGCACTTCAATTTATACAACACACTTGGAGGGAGTGGACCCCAAAGGGATTGTCCCTTCCTTGATAGAATCCATGCCTAAAACTGTCCGGGACCAGCCGGGCATGGTGGTGCCCACCTGTAATCCCAGCACTTAGGAGGCTGAGGCAGGAGGATCGCTGTGAGCCTGTGACCAGCCTGGGCTACATAGTGAGTTCCAGGTCAGTCTCAACTACATAGTGAGACCCTGCCTCAAAAAACAAAACAAAACAAATACATCTGGGACCAATGCTTTTGGTGTATGCCTTTGGTGACATTTTAATACAAAGACAACAAAATATACAGTGAATGTTTACATTTTTAAATTTATAACAGTAAATGACACATTGCCAGGATTCCCCTGAAAACACTCCTCGCTGTAGATACGTTTGTGCCATCATTCCTGCCATTTTTTGAAGCAGTTCTGGAGCCCTCTTTCCTGAGTACCTTCACAAGGTCTGGTCGAAACTATGGTGGCAGTGAGTGCCGCTGCTGAGCACCGTCGCACAGAAAGGTGAGCTCCTGACAACCCCCTGGTGTGTCCCTGTCTCCTGTATCCCCTGGATGTGGCATCCTGTGGCTTCCGGCTGCTTCCCAGGACCAAAATGACTGTGAAAGGTAACCATTTTTAATTCAGAGGACCTCGAGGCAGCCACAACACCACAACTAAAGACACTCACCAAAGAGGACTTCCAGACCTGCTTCAGAAAGTGCAAAGAACAACAGGGGTCGTCGTGTGCGAATTGAGAGGGAGCCTCTTCAGGGGTGTTATTGGCCATGTGTCTTACTGTAATAAATTTTTGAAAATTTAAACTCACCACATCTTTTTATCACACCTCCTAGCTTTCAGCCATAGATGTGTTCGGGTCTTTACTTCTGAAGTCGACTTCCCTCAGTCGTATTTCCTTTCTCGGCTCCTGACGTTATATATTCGTGTTTCCTCATCTCTCAGTGTCTCTTCCCAGCCTTATCATCTCTCCTCCTCTTCTGCCCCTTCCTCCTCCTTGCCTCTCTTCCTGTGCACCCGATGTGTGTGTATGTTAAGTGTTGACAAAGCTTTTCTGCAAGGAGCCACAGAGTAAATTCTCAGAGTCATAAGCTTCTCGGTCTCTGCGGTACCAGCTCAGAGGCTGGGTGAGGCCCTGGAAGAAAAGCGAGCTCTGACTCTACCTGTCTCACCTCTCCAGACACCAGATCATGCTTTGGGAGAAAAAAATCCAACTGGCGAAAGAGATGCGCGCCTTGGTGGATTCAGACACCAGCCAGACGGAAATCCGCGCCATGAAGGCCGAGATCCACAGGATGAAGGTATGGATGGGGCCTGGTGGGGCCTGGTGGGGCTTGGGGATCAGGCTCCTGAGGCCGCCCTGGCCGGCGGACAACAGATGCGTCCTGAGACGACCCTCCCCCTGCAGGGCTGCAGGCACAGTGCCACTGACCCGGCCTTCACATCAGGGTCTGTCTGTCCCTACGGCACGGAAGCAGTGACTGTGTCACGAGACTCTCAGTCACAGGTCACACACAGTGGTACGCGCATTATTTCACAACACACCTTTATCCTCACTCCTAGCAACCAAGGCACTCTGATATTTGCAAACTGGGTGTGGCGACACATGCCTGGCAGCCCAGCACTCTTAGAGGCTGAGACAGGAGGACTGCAATTTCAGACCCTGCCTAGACAACTTGGCAGAACTCTGTCACAAAATAGAAAGTACTGGGGACATAGTTCAGTGACAGAGGTCTTGCTCACCACGCGTGAGACCCCAGGTTCAAGTCCCAGCAACATACACACACACACACACACACACACACACGATGCGGGCTGTGACACCACATTTCACAACCCCCCACGGAGGGTCAGGAAGAGCCTCATACAATGACAGGATTCAGAAAGACACCTCCATCCCGTCCCTCATGTAGTGAGACTGTGGGGACCTACTTGTCTTGCTGCTGCCTGAGACACACTTCTGTCCAGAGGTCCCCACTACATTGCACTTTGTGCGATCCTGCACCTGTCTTCATCCATCCTTCTCTGGGTAGCTTCTGCCTCACGAATGGTTCTCATATGCTGGGATGGCTTTGTCCAAAACAGTGAGCCCCAAGAGGAATCTGTAAGGAATACTCAGAAATATGGTTGAATGTTTACATTTTTTAAATGTATTACAAGGGCCAGGGATTTAGCTCAGTGGTGCCACCACCTGCCTCAAAAGCACAAGGTCCTGAGTTAGATCTCCAGTACCGAAAGAAAAAAAAAATCTGTTACAGTACAAGACACACTGCCATTAATTCACCTCTTGAAATACTCCCTTCAACTCAAATACATTTATCTCATCATCCTTGCCACTTTCTGAAGACGTTCCGGAGTCCTTCTTCCTGAATGTCTTTACAAGTTGTGATCAAAAATACAGTAAATGTTGCTGCCAAGTGCCGTCCAAAGGCAAAGCAGGCTTGTAAAAGGTAAAAACATTATAACGCGTCCTCACCTACCTTAGGTACCATTCTGGCGTGGTACAACTTCTGGTCCTTCATCAAAGTCAAAATGACCATCAAAGGTTTGAATCCATTCAGAACAAGGCAGCCACAACAGACGATGAAAGACTCTCACAAAAGAGGACTTCCAGACCTGCTTCAGAAAGTGGCAAGGATGATGGGCTGAGTGTATTCCGTGCCTGCTGCCCAGCCTCCTCACTGTGTCCCTGCCAGTCCTGTGGAGAATGGTGCCGGCAGGGGACAGGCTGTGGGATGAGGCGGCAGATAGCAGTACAGCTGGCATCCTGGGCCCACCCAGTCCCTCTGACCTGTGTCCCCAGGTCAAGCACGGGCAGCTGCTAAAACAGCAGGAGAAGATGATCCGGGACATGGAGATGGTGGTGGCTCGCAGACAGACCATCATGACCCAGGCCGAGGGGCAGAGCAAGCTGGACAAGAAGGCTCTCACCCGGACCAAATTCCACCACACGCAGATCGAGCTACAGCGGAAAATCAAGGAAACCCACAAGGTGAGCAGCAGCGAGAAAATGCAGGGTTTACATGGCCCTTTTCTACCTCTACGAACCAGAGAATGTTCTAGAAGGGTGCTCCTGACCCAGCTCCACCTCTGCTCTTGGGGCTGGGCATCACGATGTTCTTCTCCCCCTCAGTTTTGGTCAGCATACCCCTGGGTTGGCCCGAGGACACTTCCTCCCCCTTGCCACGTCAAGCGGTGTCCTAGGGCCTTGGGCTGTGGTCACACTCTGGCTCCCACCAGCTAGTCCCCACGGCCAAGTCTTCTCTGCCCCTCATTCCCTCGGGCTGCAGTCGGGCGGATGCGACACAGCTGTGACAGAGGCATGGGGGTGGCGGGGACAAGGATGCTAGCTTTGGGACCGGGCAAGCCCATCTGCACTGCCCAGTCACAGAAGCCACCCATCCTCTGGGCTGTGACCACCCTCCGTGAGGGGACGTGTGACCAGTGTGCTGCATCCTGCCAGGTGAAGATGTGGCCATCAATGTGGCCTGAGCACTGCAGGGACCTCCTGAGTCCCTTACCTGGTGCCATCCTAGGCCTGTCCCTGGAAGTTTGTCTGGCGTCCAGCACAGTTCTTCTGGGGCCTGAGGCAGCCGTGCATTTGTCTTTTGCTGAACAAAAATAGCCTCTGGAAAACACAGTGTGAGTGAGGGAGTGTCTCCTAGTCGGGGCTGGGGACAGGCTGCTGGGAATGCGGTGGGCACCCCAGAGCCTGCATCTCTCCTCCTGACCGTGTCCACTGAGCATGTGTTGTGTACCTTAGCCTGGGATGGGATTGGCCAGTGCTGCCCCCGTGCCCACTTTCCCAAGCCATCGCCAGGCGGAATCTGGGCTCGCAGTTCCCAGGTTGGCTCACGGCGGCACTGACCAGCTGTGTGGCTATGGATGCGCATGACTCCTTTCCCGGCCCACCTCTCCGGGTCTGCAGGCATAGAGGAGCAGAAACAGCCTCCCAGGGCGGTGATGGTTAAAGGCGACAGCAATAAGAATGTGGCCCCAAAGGTCCCTAGGCACTCACATGGAGGCCCCTGCGTCTCCTACTGGACCCCCCACCCTCCCTGCCCACACCCTGCCGGGCAGCCCCCAAGTCCTCCTGATCCCATGGGCCACGCCCAACACGAGCCCCTCCATGTGTGACAAACGGGGCCTTTTCCTTAGCCCGCCAGTCCCATCCCGGATTTCTGTGTCCCCAGCTCGGCTCAGAGAGCAATTGCCTTCATCTTTCTCTGGGTCCTGCCTCAGCTGCCCGACTCTGCCAGACCCTTTCTCTATAGCTCTGCTTTCCCTGATGCTGTCTGGCTGCATCCCTGCTGCCCGCTGCTGCAGACGCCTCCCGAGGTACTCTGTCCCTGAGGCTCTGCAGAGGGGTCCCCACCCCACTGGAAGCCACTGCATTCTCACACCCTTCTCCCTCACACGAGGGGTCCCACCACGCCCAGTGCATGTACAGAAGACACCTGCGGGTCCTTGGCCTGTCTGTCTGCCAAGTGACCAGGATTCAGGGAGCCACAAGTCCTATCTGTCTCCTAGGCCACTGAGCAGAGCAACCAGACCATCTTAGAACTGGAAGAGACTCAAAAGCTGCTGAGCAGCTCCCTCCTGGAGAAGCAGGAGACACTGTCTGGGATGCAGGTGGACACAGACATGCTTGACACCAGCATCAGGCAGCTCACAGTGCTCAAGCGACAAGTAAGAGTCCCATGGGGTCCCTCAAACTGAGGCTCCTGGGCTGAAGGATGTGCCACGCCCAGAAGCCAGTGTCTCCCGGACTGTTGACAGCACCACTGGTATTTATGTTTTTGTGGCCTTGTGATTGCTTCACTCAGCAGATATTAAGCACTATCAGTCCTGGGCCAGGAATTGTGGGTGCTCAGACTGCAGGACAGACAAGACAGAACCCCCTGCCCTTGCAGAGTTCCATCCCCAGGGAAGGAGGGCAGAGGGTACGCACACTAAATAAGGAAAAAGGCAAGATGCGTTAGATGGGCCTAATCCTTTGAAGAAAACTAAGCAGAGAACCCATGTTGGGGCCTCAGGGTGGAACGGGAAAGAAATTTGAGTGTGGTGCCCTGGGAAGGCTGCACTGAGAGGAGGAGGCACTGGAAGGAAGCAAGGGAGAGGTGGCCTCGGGCTGCTGGCTGGGGACAGCAGGAAAAAGAGAGTCCTGCGGGACTGCAGCAGCTTCAGGGGGAGCAGTCCTGGCTCTGGGCCTTTGTGGCGAAGGATGAGGGGAGGCAGTGGAGGGCTGTGGGCCACAGATGACCTGGGACTCTGCAGGATGCCTGGCGTGTGGGGTTGAGGGTCCGGGGTGCACACAGGAGGCTCACGGTGGCTCTTCAGGAGAGTGCTGTGCATGGACAAGGGCAGCCACCGCTCCGTATGTGTGTAATTCAGAAGCCATCTCTGTCGAATTTTCCTGCAGGCCTGGCTGTATGAGCGGAAGTCGGGGGGGCATCAGGCCTGGCCAGCTGAGACAGGAGCGTGTCCAGCATCAGGCTTGACATACAGTGGCATCAAAACTGTCTCCTTGTCTGTAATCCCAGTGCCCTGGGAGGCTGAGGCAGGAGGACCCTTAAGTTCAAGCCCAACCTGAGCAACTTAGCAACTCAGCAAGACTCGGTCTGAAAATAGAAAACAATAAAGGGCTGGGGATGTAACTCGGTGCAAAGGTCCTGAGTTCAATCCCTAGTACCACAGTAAATAAATAAGGTGGGTCCCAAAGACAAGGGAATGACGGTGACTTCAGACTACAGACTTCAATCTCCAGTTACCCCCCCCCACCCAAAGTCTCTCTGGGATGGATGAACAAGGAACGCTCCCAGCAGTGGGAATCTGGCTGTCCCTGGGATCTGGAAACTCCTCCCCTCCCTCCCCAAGATGTAGTTCTCCTCCACCCTGACACAGGGTCTCTCTCCCACCCAGAACCTTTCAGAGATCGTAACCCTACAGACGCGCCTCAAGCACCTGCAGGCCGTGGTGGACGGAAAGTACACCTTCCTGTTCCGCTCCCAGAAGTCCATGACGCTGGAGCACAAGCGGCTGGAGGGCCGGCTGGCCCTACTGAGCACCATCCTGGCCCACGTGCAGGAGGAGCACCCCCAGTTCCAGGAGGCCCTGCGCCCGATCAGCCAGAAGATCACCAGCAAGCTTGAGTCCCTGGGGCCCTCCTAGAAAACACTGGGGATCCCTCCACTTCCAGGACCCAACCCTGAAGAAGACCCCCAGAACTGTGCTTATCACCAGGGGTGGCATCTGTGTGCCCTGGGAATAACACCATTTATGGGACACAGACCGCCCCTAGGAATTATTTCTCAGCCACTCACTTTAAACCAAGTAAAATCCAGCATCTCTGACAGCTCTGGTGAGCTTTTTTCCCCTTTCCACCCGCAGGGGCATCGCCTGTGAATACAAACCCCTCACGCCCCTTGGGCCGACTCCTCCATGTAAGCGGCAGGCAGTGGTGGCTCCTCAGGGCTGGCACTGACCGGTAGGCGGACGCTGGAGGGGGCTGCATCCCTAGCCCTCTGCTATGGCACAACCCTGAGCCACCTTCCACTCTGCCACCCCGTATGCAGACCTTCAGGGGTCCCCAGGAAGCCGGGCAACGCAGCAAGGTGGGACCTGCCCCGCACCTGCCAGCCTCTCTCCTCCCACACGCTGGTTTCTTTCTGAGAGTTACCCCGTGGTTTCTCTAAGGGCGAAAGGGAAAATACTCTACAAAAGAACTTCACTTTCAAACCTTTCAAACTCTGGAGCAGAGCAAAATACCTCTTTCTGAATACGGCAGTGAGACACACTTATTCTAAAAGTGCGGAAATACAGCACTACAAAGCAGGCAGGGAGGTCGAGGACGCGCCTTCCTCGAGTTTGCCTGTCTTCATAGGCGCATTTTCCCACTGCAGGAAAACAGTCCTCGTGTCCATAAGTTTGCACAGGCGCGGGCTGTCCCAATGCCTCGCCTGTCCCCCAGGAGGAAGGGTAAGGCTCGCAGTGAGAGGAGGTTGTCTCCGGATCTGAGGTGACTGCAGCCTCTCGGCCTTTCCCACGCGCCCCCTGCCGAGTCCCACTGCCCCCGGCTGTGCCCTCGCTGGTCGTGTCCCGTCTCTGTCCCCAAAGGAACACGCAGCCACAGGCGGACAGGAGCCCCGAGATACCTGCCCGCGTCGGGG